ATTGTATTTTGACTTCAACATTTATACTTAGGTTATTCTCATCGTAGAAAACAATTATATAGATAATTGTTTTCAAATTTCAATCCTTTTATATACCCATTTGAATTAAGTTTTGCTTCCATAAAGTGCTTAATTTTTTAAATTAAAATTGGATGTTGAACATTAATCGTCTTTATGTAATGAACAACAGTTCGCCATCCGGTCAACAAATTGTTAATGAACAACAAGTTTGCCATTTGGTTAATAAATTATTGTTTTTAGAATTCCAAAACTTATTTTTCCTTTCCAGATTTTTGAATTTATCTTTTTAAATAATAGCTAATTATTTGAATAGTGTCTAGTTTGGCTATTCATTGATAATCAAAATAATTTCATACAAACTAGTGGCGCCCTCTCTTTACTGTACCAACACCAAGGACCACCCCAAGCTAAAAAAACACTGAGCATAGTCGAGCACAATTATTATGAGCATACTTTTGTTTCGACAAAAGAGCGTTACAAAACATAGCTTCTTTGTGTGTCCTGTTTATCCTATTTCAATCTAAATATAACCAAATGTTTAAATTTTGAAAAAGCCAGCTCCGGGAAGCGAATTCTATTCCTAAAATCTTCGAAATATAACTTTAACTTCAACAAACATCTCATCCCTATTTTATTCCACAATTTGTCAAGCGATTTTTTGTTGAGCAGCCCGTAGCGTCCAGACTCGTAAATTGTATTCTTCAATAAACTCGGAATTTTCGTGTCCGTTTCCAATCCTCGGACAAGTTTTTGAATAACTTTTTTTTTGTCCTGAACGCTCAAAAAGATCCGGAGGTAAATTTAATAAAAAAAAAAAGATATTCGAAACAAATTTTGCAAAGTAGAGTTGTTTTTTCTTCTGGACATTCAATATTTGAAAGTGATGTATCTACAATACACAAACAATATTCAGGGATACAACACAAATATATTTCCACAAAATTCTATATAAACACATAAATTATCAAAAAGCCCCTTACACAGGTGTTGTAATTTCAAAAAGGGTCCAAAATTAGGCTTTTCACGTTAAACCTTTTAAACAGTAACAGCTAGTTATCTCGATGCTTTCAAACTAACTAAGCCCTAATGATAACCTTTCCGTATATGAACCCCAATGTAATTTCATCTTAACACAGGAAATATTCCTGACAAAGTTATAATTATCTATTATTATTAACGCAGGGACGTGTTCGTAATTAGAAACGGAAGATTGTCAAGGGACTACAAAATGGGTTTTGGGAATTACATTATCATTAATTTTTCGGAAATAAAGAGAAACAGTAAGAAATCGTCAAAATAAAATAAATGTGACAAAAGTCAGAAGTGAATTCCCGCAATAAGGGCTTAAAAAATTCATAATATTTTTCAAAATCTGCTGCTCCCATTTACTCCGATTGAATCTCCCATGATGAATAAGTGCCCTACTATACGAAATAGAGCAATAATCCGGAGTGCTTCCCATGCTCGGCACAATAAGCCGTAATAAATTTCGGGCCACAATATGTCGGGGCTACGTCGAATCGATAACTTCAACTAACGCTTCTATAGACAGAATATAAATTATGATTATTAGAATTATATGCCTCGTCAAACAAGGAGAAATTGCTCGGACCACGAATTTACCTTTACCCCAGTCGGATTCACATTGTGACGTCCGAAAAGATATATTGACAAGGGTAAATTGGCTTTCGCGTCCTGTTTATAGGCCAATGTGACTGATATTTACGAGAGCTTAAGAATACAAGAAAAAAAAAAGCAATTTAATAATACCAACACAAGAAAAAATTCTTTTGCTTTGACAACCTCTCTAAATGGAAATTCAAGAACAATATTAGAGAGTTGATATACAAAAACTTTTGCTTTAGAAATTTTCAATTTATTTAGCAGCAAAGAAAAACATATAATCCCACCTCATTGATTGATTACTAGTTCTAATGGAGGTCAGGCAAAAACGCGCTCTGTCAACGAGATTTCCGCCCCATAGATCCTTTATGGCGTTCTTGGGAAAACCGTTCATCCCCTTTTAACCTCAAATCACGAAAATGGCATGCCCGGCTGACAGGGCGAAACATTGTCGCCTTTGTTCTCCCTAACTATTCGAATATGCCCTAGGATGGGGGACATGAATTTACCAATTTGAATTCAGAATTGTAACGGAGTTACCAGATTTTTCCCAAAAATGTGTGCGCCTCTGACTTCAATGGCAAATCGTGCGGGAAGACTTTCTTCCCGCACTCAGTGCGGGAAGAGTTTGAAATAATCATTGTGACATGGAATTGTTTGTATTGTTGATACACCTATACCTGTACCTTTACCTTTTTATGAATACCTTTTAAAACATTTACCTACGAGCGTGCGGTAAAGTGCACTTTACCGCACGTATTTGCAAATGGAAAGTATCACTTTACCGCACACTATGCGGTAAAGTGCACTTTACCGCATAGTGTGCGGTAAAGTCAACTTTACAGCATAGTATGCGGTAAAGTAGAATACAAAGTGTGCGGTAAAGTGCACTTTACCGCATAGTGTGAGGTAAAGTAGATTTGATATTTATAATCAAAAATCCTCTCTTTTTCAGAAAATGGATTTTTGATCATTTCTAAATCTTATCTAATTTCATTAATTAATCTGATTCATTAATTAATTTTATCAATGCCTTTTTTTGGAGATGTAGATGCTCATAGGTAAAATTTTGTACCTGACACATGCGGAAAGTGCCTTTACCGCCCTTAACGGCTTGACCGAACTCCGCTTCGCGTCGTTCGGTAACTGCCGTTGCGTGCGGTAAAGTATCACTTTCCGCATTTGTTAGGTAAATAACTATTTCAATTCTACCTTCTACATATTTAAATTAAACTTCTCGTAACATCAGCTTTAGTATGCTCGTAGAAAAAATATAGTTCCTAACTCTAGCCCGAGGGCCGGAAATTTCTCTTCCCGCACTCGTTAGGAAAATAGATATTTTGTTTTTATTGTCACGGTTCACTTGGACGGACAGAGTTTAAGATTCTATAGACTATCACGGTTTATGTGTACGGATAGTTTTCGCTAAGATATTTATTTTCACAAAGTTTAAAGTTCTATAGCTGTCACGGTTTACGTGTACGGACAGTTTCTCTTCATATATTGGTTCATGTTTTATTGTCACGACATAGTGTAAAGTTCTATAAACTATCACGGTTCATGTGTACGGATAGTTTTCTCTTAGATATTATTTATACTGTCACGGTTCATGTGTACGGACAGGGCTTTATTTCCACCGCCGTTGCGGTCGATTCTAACCGATTTAAGGTTACCGTATTGACCAACCAAGTAAATTCATGTCTGTATCCGAAATGTCTTAAGTGTGAAACGGGTACATCAGTATTCGAACCAGTTAAAACCGTTAAGATCTAACCGCTTTTGTATTGCATGACCGCTTCTTATTTTCTGTTTATCACCGCGTGCTTGACCGCTTCTCATTTTCTGTTACTCACCGCTTGCTTATAAACCGCCCGTTATCATTAATCTACACGCACGCACACATACACATTTTCACTCTCTCCATTGCACGCCCGCTTCATTCACTCTATTTACTCTGCTCAAGGAATGTTATGTTTTACTATAGGAATTGCCTTGTTGACATCCATTTATAGCAATAAATGTGATTTCATGTGTCTTCTTTTGGAGTTTTCTGGAGGATTTACAGGAGGTATAGAAGAAATAACTTCCAGCATCTGATTCGACCTGATCTCCACTGTAACAAGCTACCTGGTGCACGTGGGCCCCTCAACTACAATAATCCTGAGGGTGGCGCTTGAGATAACCGATAAAGCAAGAAAAGAAAAAACCGAAAGGGCGCTACAGAATCTTGGTATGTGCTAGTAAAGTATGGATTCCAAAAGAAAGTTAGTAAAAGTCATAACTGGACAATTCTTTGCAGTCATATTTTTCTTATGAAGTTATTTATTGCAAAGTAAACTTTGAGTCGAAATACCATCAATTCAAACCTAGACATAAAATTGTATCAAATATGTATAACCTCTCGCTCTGTTGAACTTTTACGCACATCAGGACAGACAAAGGTAAGATGTATATCTGTTGACTGACATTGAATTCCACTTACCTGGCGACTCGAAAGCTTTCGAGGGAAAAACGAAACACATAATGTCGCTTTTTGCGAAAGCATTTCTCGATATACGCCCTTCACACAGGGATGAATAAACTCGAAAGAAAAATATCCTTTGTCTGTTGCAATGTCTTCGAGTGATATTTTTTCAAAAACTTTTATATTTATGTGAATCGTGCTTTATTACCCAACCTACATTTAACAGAATAGCAACGAATGCTTAATGCACTATGGAAATTTTTATTCGTGTGCTATTTGCTTTATGCCACTACGTTTTTTGGCCGAGAGGCATTTACATACAGAAAAATTTATTGCCCATGAAAAGCGCCATTTTTTACCATTAACGGGTCGTTAAACCGAATTAGTATTGTGTTTTTGGAGACAAGACCAACTAAGCATTTCACAGCGGCATTAGTGTGAAAAATTAAAGTATTTTTCTATGATTGTGGCTTCCTGAAAAAAAAAAAATCCCGCTTCGCTAACGACCAAAACTCCTTAAAAAGTTGTCGTAAAAATGCTAAAAACATCATTTAAAATTACAATAACCTCCATTAGAAGAGATAAAATTATACAACTTTAAAGGTCGCCCGAGAGGCAAACATAAAATGAATAATTTATACGTTGAAAGATTTTTTTTCAGGTTGAAACATAAGTACGAAAATTCAAGTGAAAAAACTTTGAGCCGATGTGATTTAAGGGCCAATTTGCGTGGAAACTCCGACGAGGATATAGTCTATATCCGCGGAAATGAGGGCAAACCGGCATCCAGAAGTGTGTTCATAAAAAAAAAAGGGTCTTGATGTTTTTTCTCTTATTCGTATGCATAAGGGAGAGGCGTTTTCAAGCTATTCTATGACAAAACCAATCTTACCTGTAAATTTGGAGGACAATGATCTAGAAGTTCCAACATGTGTCGAATATTTTGAGCGTCTTGGATAACGAAGTTTAATTCCATGTCAAACTCGCCACCGACAAGCTGAAACAAATTTAAATATTTATGAACATTGAAAATATGAATTTATATTTTCTCATTTATAGATTTAAGTATGATTGATTATTGGCTAATGCCTCTTCGAGCCAACAACTTTTGACTTTTTTATTAGATAATCCTGCCATATATCAGATAAAACGATATATATCAGCGACAAAGCACACACGCGAGAAAATAAATCGCCGTTTCAAAAAATATATGCGAGAACTCGCATAATAGTTTCCAAGCTTAAAACAGATTTATGCGAAAACTTTCCTTCCAATAAAGCACTTAAAAATTTCCAACAAAACTGTGAATGCGGCCATGCTGGAGGGTCTCGCTACTAAACTTCTTATGTGTTTTGCGGTTCGATTTGCAACTTGGAATTTACTCAAGTAGCATAAAAACTACTCGACTTACCGACACCATAAACTACAAACGGTCCTTAATTAAGCTAGGTAAACTTTAAATCAACAGAGATTACCTGAACAAAGCGCCAGCTTTACAAGCTATTTAGAATTGGCCACAACTTGAGTAAACTATTACAGAATAAGTAATTAGCAATTTACCACAGGAAAGTTTCCAGTAATGAAAAATTGAAAGCCACAATTTCTTGCTTTAAAACTTGAAAACTAATCCAATTTCCCTGCAAACATCTGGTCATACGACGACATAATTATTTGGTGAAGCAGTAAACTGACTCCGAAGATTGTTTCTCGAGCGTGAAATCTACACGACATTATGAAACGTTAATAAATTTACCCTGTAAGTTTAACTTGAATCTATTCATGAATTCAGAATGCATAAGTGGCTTATTTATACTACAGTTGATGTTTGTGGAGCTAAACACTCAACCCTCAACGTGCAAAACAAATATAGTGTTACGTTGCACAACTTTCGGGGAATTTTGCGTCATACGATACACATTTATTCTTGAAATAGTCCATTGAAAATGTTATGTAACTTTTTGAGTTGGTCATTTTTCCCTATCGATTTAAACGAGGAGTAAAGAATAATTATGGTGTAAAGAAGTTACTGAATTTTCCGTGCGTCTTGGTAACTCAATTAGTTAAAAATTAGCGCGAGTTCAACCGACTGGATGGAAGTAGATTCTGAAAGGGGCTGCAACCCGCTGCAGTTTCCCAGAATTACAAATTTGGCACCCGAGCTGGGACCGTTGAGACCGTTTTGCGCAGAGGCTTGTAAAGCCACAAATTATGACTAGCAACTGCGTATTTCCATTCTGACTCTTGCAGAAAGGTCCCATATGATCCAAATGGAGGGTGTGCTATGGTTCTGCGACTTTGTTGATAGGATATAATCTTTTCCGGCGTCTACCAGTAGGTTTCTTCGACGCAATACAATCAAGGCATATTTCTTTACAAAGGCTCGCAGTTCCGTGAACCAATATGTCTTCTTGATGGCATCTATAGTTCTCTCCACACCTGGATGTCCATTATCGTCATGGAACATTTTGGTGCCTCGCCAGCGGACGTTTCTTGGAATAACAATTTTGATTTCACAACTTTGATTTTACAATTTTGGATCTGTGTCTTTAACAGTTGAAGATATTCTTCTGATGATTGAACAGCTACCACCCAATCACCTATTTTTAGAGTGTTTACCGTAACCGGATTACGGCTTAACGCATCCACGTGGACCATTTTGCTGCCAGATCGATGTTCGATGGAGAAGTCGTTTTCCTGCATCACCATCCACCATCTGGCAATGCGTGGAGTGAGATCGCGCTTTGCCCAAGTCAGTCGAACAGCATTATAGTCGGTAACTATGCCGAAGTGACGACCATAAGGTAAGTTACGGAACTTCTCACAGTTTCCACTACTGCTAACGTTTCAAGCTCGTAGCTGTGGTATTTTTCTTCGCACGTGTTCGTCTGTCTACTCATGTAGGTTACGGGTTTCCAGTTTCCATCAGGTTGCTTTTGAAGTAAGGCGCCAGCTAAACCAACTTGGCTAGCATCACAATGTACCAGAATCTCACATTTCTCGTTGAAAATTGTCAGTACAGGACCAGAAACTAATTCGTTTTCAAGTAGCCCGAATGCTTTCTGTTGTTTGTCTGTCCAATGCCAAGAAGTCGCCTTTTCCAATAAACCAGTCAAAGGTTCAGCTTTAATCGCAAATTCTTTAATGTATTTCCTGAAATATGATGCCAAACCAACGAATTGACGCACCTGGTGAACGCTGTTGAAAACTGGAAACGATGGTTTCAATACGCCATTGCAAATTTCTGTACCCAAATACTCGATGGAACTTTTGAGGAACTCACATTTCTTGAGATTAAACGTAAGGCCAGCTGCACTAAATACGTCTAAAACCACATCGAGTCATCCTATGCCTTCATCCACCGTTTTTGACATAATCAAAACATCGTCCAGGAAAACCACCGCAAATTGATGACGTAACGGACCTAAAACCTGGTTTATAGCGCGCTGGAAGACAGCAGGTGAATTGGACATATCGAAAGGAACTCTGGTATACTACCAATGGTTGTCAGGTGTTATAAACGCTGTATATTTGCCACTTTCTTGGTCCACTTCAAGATGATGGTAGCCTGACTTGGGATCGAGTAAACTAAATAATTTATTGTCGGCTACCTTTCCAATTGGCCTCAATCAGGGGTAATAGATATTTGTCATTATCAGAACATCGTCCAGGAAAACCACCGCAAATTGATGACGTAACGGGCCTAAAACCTGGTTTATAGCGCGCTGGAAGACAGCAGGCGAATTGGACATACCGGAAGGAACTCTGGTATACTGCCAATAGTTGTCAGGTGTTGAAAACGCTGTATATTTGCGACTTTTTTGGTCTACTTCAAGGTGATGGTAGCCTGACTTGAGATCGAGTGAACTAAATAATTTATTGTTGGCTAACCTTTCCAACTGGCCTCAATCAGGGGTAATAGATATTTGTCATAATCAGAACATCGTCCCGGAAAACCAACGCAAATTGATGACGTAACGGGCCTAAAACCTGGTTTATAGCGCGATGGAAGACAGCAGGCGAATTGGACATACCGAAAGGAACTCTGGTATACTGTCAATGGTTGTCAGGTGTTATAAACGCTGTATATTTGCGACTTTTTTGGTCTACTTCAAGATGATGGTAGCCCGACTTCAAACCGAGTAAACTAAATAATTTATTGTCAGCTAACCTTTCCAACTGGCCTCAATCAGGGGTAATAGATATTTGTCATTATCAGAACATCGTCCAGGAAAACCACCGCAAATTGATGACGTAACGGGCCTAAAACCTGGTTTATAGCGCGCTGGAAGACAGTAGGCGAATTGGACATACCGAAAGAAACTCTGGTATACTGCCAATGGTTGTCAGGTGTTATAACCGCTGTATATTTGCGACTTTCTTGGTCTACTTCAAGATGATGGTAGCCTGACTTGAGATCGAGTGAATTAAATAATTTATTGTCGGCTAACCTTTCCAACTGACCTCAATCAGGAGTAATAGATATTTGTCATAATAAGAACATCGTCCAGGAAAACCAACGCAAATTGATGACGTAACGGGCCTAAAACCTGGTTTATAGCGCGCTGGAAGACAGCAGGCGAATTGGACATACCGAAAGGAACTCTGGTATACTGCCAATAGTTGTGAGGTGTTGAAAACGCTGTATATTTGCGACTTTTTTGGTCTACTTCAAGATGATGGTAGCCTGACTTGAGATCGAGTAAACTAAATAATTTATTCTCGGCTAACTTGTAACGATGTTACCTAATTTTCCTGGGGTTGAATGTGTGCTTACGGTATAATTTGATATTAATTATTTTTCAGGCAGACGGACACCGCCGTCTCACTGTTTCAGGTGCAGCAGCAGCAGCAGAGCGACCATCATCAGGTACCGTTTCTACCGACGCCGACGCCGCTTCCACGTTATCACGCCGGATTCAAAGGTATAGGTTAGTGGTTGCTTCAAGGGTATGTCTGATACTGCCGTCTCTCTCCGTACCGTGGCGACATGGTATGGAGCCGATGGTAGATTGCCTGCATTTCATCGTTTGGACCCGTATTACATTCGATGAAATGCAGGGAATATTCAGCATTCTATATTTTACGGAGATTTGTCTATCTCTCTGCCTCTTGCTTCGGTACGGACCCGTACTACGTCCGGTGTGAGGGAATGAGTGCGGCCGAAGTCTGTGACGTCATACCATAAGGCCCCCGTATTACAAATGGCATGACGGCGTAGATTAGGCTTGTTAGACACTTCTCTGTCGTCCATGTTAAAATGAGCTCTCCTCCTTGCGTCGGTGTGGACCCGTGCTACATCGGACTCGAGGGGAGTACAGCTACGCCATCTCGCCATGCCAACAGGCCCCCGTATTACAGTTCGTATGACGAGGATGGCGATGCTTTTTCGCTCTCTCTCCGTTTTATTCTGTTTCTTATCTGTAAGCAACCTACTGTTCAACAATGTCAGACGCGCATGCGTATTTTATATTTGCGAATCATGTATACCAGGTGGATGCGACGATGGTCCGTTTTCTGTTCTCTGCCTCATGTTTGTGTCGTTTTATCCGTTTGCGGTCGAGAGTCTTTTACCGTCTGACGTCACTAAACTGTCCGTACACTAAATATTATACCGAATTGTTCGATCACAATTTACCGTATCCGAAAGCACGCATACTTACTCAGGTTCTCCTTTCTTTCTGAAGTAGGTTCTAAGGTTTACAATATACAGGGTGATTGATTACTGGTTAAGAATTGAGAAGAACTGTTTTAGTCTATTGTAGGTATATTTTGGCAAACACGAACGATGCTTTATTTTCCTTAATTGTTGGTTTTATTTCTACCCATATCGTATCTATGACCCCTGGCACACCGTTTCTCCACTGTATAAAGGCTACCTAGGTGCATGTGGGCCCTTAACCACTATAATCCTAAGGGTGGCGCCCGAGATAACAGTTGGACTGTAAGTCGAAAAATCCCTAAAACATCACGATATACAGGGAGACCTAAAATAGCGCT